CATTGTATGCATAATCATTTCCAAAGTCGGACCGTAGACGTGGTACATTCACAGACGTTTCGCCGGCATCGTCAGTGAGTGTCGCCATTCTTAGCACCATACAACAACTCGTCAAAGAGACAAGTTAGCCTATCCTTAGACCAAACGTGTACTAAACAGTTGTGGTATCTTCCCCTCTGCCCTGGCCTATTCACATTTCCTATATCTTCCAATCACGACTTTACTGTCACAATTTTTTACTTCTCTGAGTAACGCTGCTGCGGACCCTATCCGACCAACAACACTATAAATGACATTCATAGGATACATTTAATTTCTATACCACCACATACATAACAAGTTCAAAGCAACAAGCTCACTGCTATTACTCAACTAATAGTATAAGAAAGCCCAAGCTCATTTTAAAGCAGACTACCTCGACAGCTAATATTACTGATATCACGAACGCATTATGTGCAGGATAGGGACATTTATCAATTACTTTTAAGTATCCCCATGTAGCTCTGAGACATAATAAAGAGAATATAATTTGAGCTGTGCTAACACATGTCTTGCTCAACATGATTAATCACATGTGCTTTGCAAGGCGGTAAAATTAAAATTCTTAAACATAAGTATAGAATAAGTCAGCTCAAATTATCACCACCATATTTATATGCAACCCACTAATTTTAAGTGATAAGAAAAGCATTTCATTGAGTATTGTTAAAAAGTTAAAAACAGATTAAAGATATCGGTGAATCCCCTAAATGTGTACACTGATGCTACCGAGCTATCTATGGGTCTGGAATCAAGATGGGGATGGTGGCAAAAAAGAAAAAAATGGTAAGTGTACATTTAGGATAAAAGAGAAAACGATAATTGTTTTTATAAAAGAAGCGAAAAAAAGCTAAAATCACTGGCGATGAGAGTAATTTAAGCCTGAAGTTTGGGATATAAAGACATTATTTGAAGCACGCGGAAGGAATACACAGAAAAATAGCGTAAGAAAGGTAAAATTTTGAAATTCAAGAGCAAAATTTTAAATTAAGAGACGATTGGAAAAAATAAAACGAATCAAAAAGTAAGATTACATAATAGAACGAATTTAGACCATCTGACATCAATATTCCCGATTTGTTAGATATGAAGTAGTTGAGAAGCAGTAAGTGAGGAAGAGACAGATCCACACTAGCTCAAAAGAGAGGAGGAAATGTTCAGCGCTTTGGGTAAGAAAAGATAAAGCCCATTGACATCTGAATTTCCAAAAGGAAGAAAAGAAATAGTATACAAGCTCACGTAAGCGATCACAAATTCGGCAGAGCGAAGTATCCAAGAAAAAAAAGCAGATTGTTTAAGTAACTTTTGTTTTGTATGCGACGGCTAATAGAAAAAGACAGAAAATAATGAGGCAAAATAGACATGCCTTTAAAGGGATGGTAGACAAGGGTCAGTGCAAACATTATTATTTATGGTACAAATAATAACGAATGTGGGTTTTGATACAAAGAAGACCTGAAGCATATTTCCACGATGCAGATTAATCTGAACAAGCAGAATCGTATTGTACATGAAGATAAAAGTAAAAAAATAACAATAATAACACCCTTCTGTAGTTCAACAAAACCCAATGATAGAGGGTAATGGTGCTTTGCCCAGCTGGGCGACCGGCAGATGAGAGAAAACCGTATAGTTTTAAGTTTGGTATATCAAATATGAATACTTAAGGGCTGATTAAGCTTGGTCTATAATGTGAAGACGATAATGCATAATGGCGCCTAGTGCTGCTAGTGCCTATCCTTAAATATTAAAGTCCACTGACACATATTCATCCTCACAAAGGATAGACAAAACGATGCGAAAGTGGGGACTCTAAGGGGTTTATGCCTAAGTCAAATCTGAGGCTCGATATTTTTGCGTCGTGTAAACAAGATTTTGATGTGAAAAAGATTGGGGCCTTTTTGAGTTACAAACAGGGAGAACTGGGCTGGGATGGCGCCAAAGCAGGCTGGGGTGGAAATAAATTGCCAAGAGAACAAGACATGTTTGTAGAAATGGGGACAGGAGTCGAGATAGATGTGGCAGCGGCAGCAGCAGCGGCAGCAGCGGCCCTTTTCTGAAGGACACTTTTGCTTGGCCGGCCACGTTGGGGCTGAGTTTGGCGACGCAATTCCAATCTGTATGGTATAAGTGATAGGGCATTTATGATGTAGAGCTAAAGTTAAATTCGTTTAAAGGAACACAAAAAAACGAATTTCCCTGAGACCTGGTTGTAGAAGCTTGTCTCATTTTAAATCTAGCTAATAGGTAATATAATGGCTATAAGTATAATGCATAATGAAAAGTGATTTCTAGGTTAGAACTTTTTGTGAATGCCAAAGCAACGAAGTCGAGTTTAGCTTTACGAACAAGTGAATGTTATCAAAATTGCCTTGATCTTGTTTCCACAAAAATGGAAGATTACGATTAATCATAATATCAAAATCTTAGTTCTCACATCAAATAATATATTGCACACATGGGTGATTTATAAATCAAGTCATTCAGTAAAATATCAAAAAAATTTGTTTCTTCCAATCTTGATAAAATTGTGAAGTTATAGTGACTAGCTGTTCATATAGTTTAGATAGCTTTTTGATTTAGCTATAGATACAGATATTTGATGAACAGGTCAAAATGTTTAACAATATAAACAGTAAAGGATCATTAATGAAAATGCCAAAACAAATGAAACGAAGGCAGGCATGAAGGCAGCACGAAATTTCATTATAAAGTTAGCCTAACAAACTCACCGGTGGGCCAATTCGTCATCATCAAGGAGGAGGGATACCATGTCATTAGAGGTCATTTGATCTCCAGTCCCAGAAG